TCCACAGGGGAGAATTAATCAAATTTCTAATAATAGGAAGGGGGAAATACAAGTTTAGTTAATGTCGGAAACTGGATAAAAACAAAATTGGTGATTCAAGGTAGAAACTTATTCTCCCAACCGGAATTGCGGTTATTAACATCATTACACAGCAAAAAACCTATTACCAAAATATGGACCTTGGAATCAGTAACTACTTTCAAACCAGCTTAGCACTAAAATATATATTGACTTCTGTCATTATTTTTTAAATTTTTTACCCTCTGTGGAGTAGGTTCTGAAGGAATGGACCAACATTGTCCATTTTGTATCGGACCTAAATAAATATGATTCGAAAATTGCGACGTGTCAGGTTTGGACTATATCGACTACTTCCTATACATTACATGAAATATTTGACAGTTTTTATAAAATATTGAAACGTGCGTGAGGTACCAGATTTAGTGGACCGAAGTATTACATTTTCATATTTCATCTAATACAGATAAAAATATTGGTTTGGGCAAAATGACAAAAAAAAATGGAACTTATATCCCATTTTATGAGAAATCATAAATCCCATATTCTTCTCAGGTCTCTGGTTGAGAGAAATATTTAGATGTACCCTTTGTGGCTGAGGTACAAGAAGGGGTGGGCAGATATATATCATAGTAAAAATATTGTGATGTGTGAAACATAAAGAGAACCGGATGTTTTTTTTCGGATTTTATGATCGTTTTGGTTATTCAAAATTTTAACCCCTTGTGGGGGACGGTTTGCTTATTCAAAACTTTGACCCTTTGTGGGGGAGGTACCAAAAGAGGTGTACCGATATATCCCACCATCACAGCAGATCTTGTGTTAGTAGAAACAATGGGATGTGTGAAATATTAAGAGAACCGGATGCTTATTTTGGATTTTATAATGGTTTTCGTTATTCAAAACTTTGACCCTTTGTGGGGGAGGTACCAGAAAAAATGATCCGATCTCTACAATTTTTATGACAGATCTTGTGTTGATTGAAATATTGAGATGTACCAAGTCTGAATGGAATTGGAAGTTAATTTCACGTTTTATGAGATTCATAGGTATTCAAAAAGTTGACCCTTTGTGGGGGAGGTACCATAAGGAGTGGACCGATATATCTCATCTTCACAGCAGATCTTGTATTAGTACAAATAACCGGATGTTTAAAATATGAAGAGAACCGGATGCTTATTTCGGATTTTATAATCGTTTTGGTTATTCAAAACTTTGACCCTTTGTGCGGGAGGTACAAAAAAATGGTATGATCTCTACCATATTTATAACAGATCTTGTGTTGATGGAAATATCGACGTGTACCAAACCCGAATGGAATTGGATGTTAATTTCGCATTTTTTGAACTTCATGGATATTCACAATTTTGACCCTTTGTGGGAGAGGTATCAGAAGAAGTGGACCGATATATCCCATCTTCACAGCAGATCTTGGGTTAATAAAAATATTTTGGAGTGTGTAATTTGAATACCTTCGGACTCTTACATCCCTTTTTATAAGAGTTGATGGAGTGGACCGATATTGTAAATTTTCGCACCTGACCTAGAAGTGATGCAATAAAATGCAATAAAAATGGTGCAATAAAATACTTTTTTTTTGAAAATGTCGACCTTTTGTGGTGGAGGTAGCAGAAGGAGTGGACCGATATTGTCCATCTCGGAACTCGATCTAAGTTTTATAACAATATTACGATGTACCAAGTTTGGACCAAATCGGAGATGGACCAGATAGATGGACGGACGGACATTGCTAAATCGACTCCAAATGTCCTGAAACGGATTTGATGCAAAAGAGACCTAAGATCTCAAAACGCGATTTCGATGAGGCACGTTTTTGCCGAATCAAATGATATATGTATGTCCTCCATAGGCATATGGCTGAGGGTAAGAAAAACGTCAAACATTTTAAAGGTTTTTATTTATTTTTTCTAAAAAGTTGTTATTTTTCAAGGATTTTCGAAGCTATAATCATGGAATTTTTAGAAAAAAAAATCATTTCTTTCTAAAAGATTTTTTTTAAGAATTTTCGAAGCTACAATCATGACATTTTGAGAAAAAAAAATCAGAAATTTTGGAGATTTTTTTATTTTTTTGCTAAAACTTTTTTAAATATTGTTTTCTAAAGAATTTTCTAACACAAAATCCTAAAATTTTTTAAAAGTACATTCCTAATAAAAAGAAACTCTGCTTCTCTCTAAAACCTGTCTTTCTTCATAGAAGGCATATCTATTTATGTAAAATGACCCATTTGGCATAATTTTGCAATAAAATAACCAATTTATTTGCCCATTCACTTTTAATTTTAGCTATAACGGAATAAAATGCATTGACATCATTTTATTATTATCTGAAAGGGTAAAAGACCAGATAGGTAGGTAGGTGAGTTTCAAGGAATATCGGTTATTGACTCAAAATTCCCATTTTGTGATGATAAACAATTAATTTGAAACATATTTTATCGCTTCAAATAATTAAGTGTTGCGAATTATCATTAAGAACTTGCATTTTTTGCAGCGCACAAAGAAATAACAATTTTGTCAACAGGAAATTCCATGAAGCAGAACAAAGTCTCAGAGAAAAAATCAAATTTTATAACAGAGCTAAAAAGAAGACTTAAAAAAAATATTTTCAGCAACAGTGGCATTTTAACGTATTTTTTAATGAAAATGTGTCAAAAATATTACGAATATTTTTGAGATCATTTGGTGTAATTTTTATGATTATTTTTATAGAACAATATAAGACATTTTTCAAGTATATTTTCATTCTCTAAATGTTGGATTTAAAGCCAAATTTCAAAGGATTTTTAGATAGGAAATGTGCAATTTTTAAGAAAGAATTTTAAGAGGCGAGCTTTGAAAGACTTTCAAAAAAAAATGATTTTTTAAAACTATCAGAGATTTGAGGTGTAGAGATTTGAATGATTATTTCATCCGAATTTAGAAGGAAGGATCTATCCATACTTAAATTTTGAAATATATTTGTTAAATGAATTTCAAACTATAAAACATAAAAAATTTAAAATGTTCCGAGATTTGTTTCATGATGGAATTTAAGCGTGAAAGTTTGATTTCCTTATTTATTTTGCCGGAAAACCACACTTGGCTATCTTTAGAGCAATCCAGAATTTAAATGTGAATAAATCTATAGTGTCTCGTACCATCGCTCGTTACCGTGATACTGGTAGCGTAGCCCGACGTCAAGGAAGTGGACGGAAGAAAACAGCAACATCAGCAAAAATGGCTCGAAAAGTAAAGAAGCGTCGCAGTGGCCGAAAATGGCTTATGGCAATATTCCATTCGGCAAATATTGAAAAATGAGCTCGGTGTAAAGCCATTAAAATTACAAAAAGTTCAAGAACTTACAACGCAACAGAAAGAAAATAGACTCAAAAGAGCTAAAAAGTTGCTACGCTTGGCCGAAAGTGGTCAGTTGACGAATTTGGTTTTCTCCGATGAGAAAACATTCGTTCTCCAGCAGTTTGTAAACAAACAAAATGATCGTGTTTACTTGTCAAAGAGGCAGCTGAAAATGTGCACCTGCGGTTGGCCACCAGAACTCAAGAGCCGGCAATGGTGATGGCGTGGGTCGTCATAACAGATGTCGCTCTCCGCTTGTATTAATCGACCGTGGCATCAGAATAAATGCCGAATATTATCGCGAAAATATTCTGGAGGGTGTATTAAAGCCTGGGGCACCCAACATTTTGGCCGCAGACCTTGGACATTCCAACAGGACTCAGTAATGCCACCCAAAAATGATTACAAAATGAGGTTCCTCGCTACATTTCCTGCGCACAATGTCCACCAAAATCTTTGGATATGGGCCAAAATACCGCAGAGCAACATTCGGGCAGCGTGTAACGGTTTCATTGGCCATTTGAAGGCCATAATTCGTGCCAAAGTGACCAATTCGAACAAATCTATTTTTTTTTTTCAAAAATTTGATGCTATATCTGAAATTTGCTTTCATTCAATAAAATTTTAAAAAAATATGTAACAATTATGGCGTTTGACTTTGTTGCAGTTTTTTATCTCACCCTGTACTAAATTTGGTATTGTGTGAAGGAGTAGAACTGAGATCCTAAAATTTGGTATAGATGTCACTGTTGGTGTCTGTGATTAAGGTAAGGAGATGGTTTTGGAATTGTGTACTATTATTGTTCGAAAAGTACTAAGTGGTGCTAGTTTTGGATCACTTTTGGTGTCTAGGATGGAGAGATATAGATTGTTCTGTGTCGCTTGTTCATTATTTGCTGCACTCGAATTTATGGTCCATTTTAATTTTTTTTTTTTTGTGATTTCATCAGAATTAAAAATAGCGGTTTTTTTTATTTTTTTATACAAAACTTATCATCCATTTCACCCTCTAAATATTATCCGATGACAATCCAAATTGTTAGGCTTCCGCTCAGTCCTGAACTCAAGACCCATGCAAAATTTTACTATTCGTCTATAATTGTGGAGTGCAGAAAAACACTTTAAAATCATATATTTTTTAAAATATTGATTCATTTCAACAGCCAACAATATTGCGATCATCTCCACAAACAATAGGCTTCTATTCCGATCCTATCCCTACCTACATGCGAAATTTCGAGAGGATCGGGCCAAAAATGCGACCTGTAGCGCGTTAACATGGACAGACGGACGGGCACACATAGCTAGATCAACTCGGCGAGATAGGAGGACCAATATTTCTAATCTTTTTGGCCCAATGAAACTAATAATACCCCCAAACACATACTCGTGTAGGGTATATAATTTATTTATTTGAGGTAAAATATAAAAATATGCTTTATGGTTTGATGTGCCGAACATAGGAGAACTTATCCTAACACTCCAGAAATACACTCTGACCAATTTCACATGTAAGGATTTAAAAATTTGACCATGTGTATAAATTTGTATGACCGTTCAAATACCCCTCACTGACTCAGATCTAAAAGGAACAAATTAAAATGTATTTTTCGAACAACTCACCTTTCAAAATTTATAGTCCATAGGTTGGTTGTTGGTTGCCTGCTGCAATTAAGACAAAGCCACTGTCATTTAACAGCTGAGCTGGGCGAGATCAAGACACCACCTCACCTCTGTCGTCGTTGTTCACAGCACACAAATTAACAAACAAAACAAAAATTATGACATCCCAAGACGAAGAATGTGTGTTAAATAAAACAGCTGTCGTCGTCAAACTTCCGATCGCCAAAAGCAAATGTTTTGCAAGAAACAATCAAGTTGTTCTGGTCAAAAGCGGGCGCAAACGGGGTTTACATGGACTGGTCTTGCACTTGGAGTTGAACAGGCGATCACAGCAGTTGAATAACAAAAAAAAGCAAACACACAACAACAAATGGGTTGGGGGTCTGTCGTCTATCCACACATAAATAAATAAACAAACAAACACCAAAGTGAGAAGTTAAAGGGGGAGCTCTCTCTCTCTTTATATATCTTTGCCCGTTCTCTCAATTCATGTGTCTCAAACAAAACAATTGCTGGTAATTACTTTGTGTGAGAGAGAGAGTTAATTGTGGTTGGAGGGAGAATAACTTGCTGCTGTTGTTGTTCAACGAGAGGGTGTTGTGACGAGGAGGCGAAGAAACAAAACAAAAATCATCTGTTTTGAAATGCAATAGAGAATTGGATGACGTTGTTGTTGTTGCTGCTCGTTTATTATTGTTTATTTTTCTTTCGTTTTTATTTTGATTTTCCTCTTCTTCTCCTACGTTGTTTTCACCATTTTGTCTCTTTTTTATTTTTGCTGTTATTACGTTTTACTTGCTGCTTCGTCTTTTGTTTGTTGTTAGAGAGGCAGCTGTTCGACGTTGCTGCGCTGCCAATTAATTCTGTCCGTCACTGTTGCAGCCAATGGGTTTTGTTGTTGTTAGTTTTTAATTTTTATTATTCTTTGTTTTTGTGTGTAAATTTTTTTATTTTCATTTATTTGGTTGTAGTGTTTCTTTTTGTGTTATTAGACTTTTATGTTCTTTTTTTCGGTGTACTTTATTCCCGAGTATTCCACACAATGGTGACGACGTCGTCGTCGTCGTTTCTGTGCCCCACTGCGGCTGCAAATGCTAGTCTCTGGTTCGTTCCTTGGCTGTTCTTGGCCAAAGTCAAAGTCACAACAAAGAGTAGGGGGAATGAAAGAGTCCAACCAGTCACAGCAACGATAAAATAAAACTAAAATTCAAGGGGTGGGAGATGTGGGGCAACGAAAGATGTTCAAAAAACACTGGATGGTCAATGGATTCACTATTCCCTTTTCTGGGGGTTTAAAGGATTTTAAACAAAGCCTTCACATCTGCGATTTTCGACAAAAACACACGCACGAAACACTGTTGCGAATTAAAATAAAAAATCGTTGACGTCCTCCACCTCCTGGCGCTGCAGCAACAACAACACTGGTGATATGTAAATTTTTCGTTTTATTCTGGCCTGTTTTTCATTTCCTCTGTAATGACCTTCAGTAAGAGCAATAGATGTTTGGACTGTAATGGCTGGCTGGCTGCTTGAGCGGAGCGTAGGGGGTCTGGTTGGTTGAATTTGATTTTATTTTTCAAAAACCTTGACTCATTTTTAAACATTGGACACTTTTTTGACACTATTTTCCAATTTGCCAAAGGATTTTGATGTGGGAGGTTCGTTTCCAATTTTATTTTCCAGAAAATTTTACTGAGTTTCGTTTCTTTTTTTTGTCGTTTCACAATCACATATTACGTTTCATTTTGTTAATGGATAGGTAGTTACTTTTTTCCGTTCGTTCATTCGTTCTTTTTTTTTCAGAATTTACACTTTTTACACACTGCACTGCACTACAGAACGAACAATTTTCAATTGTAAGAAATTTTTATTAATTTATTTGTTTAACAATAATAATAACGAATAGAAAAATATACACTTTTTTGTAGCAAAAAAGAAAAACGAATCTTATCATCTCCTCTGTAGAAAAATTTCTGTTCTACTTCGTCAACGCCGTCGTCGTCGTCGTTGTTATTTGAAAACGAACAAAGAAATATTGAGCACACAAAATATACAATATTTGAGATGGACGAGATGAATGTATAGCAAAACACAACAACAAAAACAACGAAGACGACGACAACGACAGCAGCAGCACCAACAGGAGAGTACAAAGTAGAAGAGTAAACGTATGTCGTACGAAGAACAATTACGAAATCTATGCTACCAATTAGACCAAGTGTAAACGTAACGTTAACGTAGCGTAGACTATTTTTAACCAGATTCAGTAAAGCAAGTATTAAATTAGGGCAGAGTTAGACCTGACAAATGTATGTTTATATTGCATATTTGTGCTATGTTTAAATTGGTCTTTAATTTACATCAAAATCGAGGAATTGATGTGTGAAACTATGAAGTATGTAATGAAAACTATTTCTAGTAATTTCGGAATCATTTTTTTAATTTATTTTAAATTAATTAATTCCTTAATGGAAATTGTGGTTAACTTATGAAAATAGAATTTACCAAGAGTATTCTGTCAGAATTAAATATTTTAATAATTAACAAATCGAATTGGGTTTTCCATCACATACTTGTATATCAATATCTCAACCGATTTCGACAAAATTTGACAAAGGAGTTTCTTGCATGTGTCTGTTAACTCGAACCGGATATCATTGTTAAGAGTGCATAATATGGCCACTTCCCCCAATGATATATGAGAGCTATAGCTATATCTTAAATTTCATTGTTTTCTATTTTATTATTTCTAATGTCAAAACAAAAATTTAAATTGGATTCAATCCGGTTGGAAAATTTGATTTTTAAGAATATTTTTTTAAGGACCAACGAAAGACTAATACTATTTTTAATGGATCAACAGAATCTAAAAACATTTATTTTGAATAACATTAACTTTCAAGGTTCGAACTGGATTTTTCTGGAAATCTCCTCAAGTTTCAAAGTGGATTTTCCTGTTTTTTTATGGTTCAACAAAGCCAAAAACCCGGGTTTTTGATAACATTTTTCAACAGTCCAACATTATTTTTTTCAAGGCCCAAAAAACGTTTTTTATGTTTTACAAGTTATTTTTTAATTAGATTGTCTTTTTTGTAATGTCGAGCTGAGCTAAAAGCATAGTTTTTAAAATATAACTAAGTTTTTAAAATATAACTAAGATAAGCTCGAATTCAAGGGGGAGTACTCCTGGGATTGAAAAAATCCAAACATGGATACTCTCTTTCTCTCTAATAAGTGCTAGAGTGTTTTGCTCATTTTATAGTGGGAGCAAAATTCGTTGGAAAGATAACGCGCCCGCGCCACAAACCACGGCAACAAACGAAACAAAAGCAAGGAACCAAATGTCAGATGTCTTACACAGCTGCTCAAGTCTGATGTTTTGTGCGAATCGTCTGACCGACATAGGAATTCGCTTTCTCTTGTTAGAGTTTTTTCTCTTCTGCCTTGTATAACATTTGTTGTAAACAGGCAACTCAGTGAGTTTCTCTCTTTTTTGAGATTTTTTTTTCGCTTACACATTGTGGATAAAATAAATGCGTAATTGTTGTTGTGCCGGGGGAAAACACGTACGCCAATCAGAACTCATAAAATCAGTTTTTCGAATTCTGATCGAAAACTGTTAGGAAGTCTGCAAAAAATCAGAAATCAGCACGATATTACTTTTGACTTTGTTCCGGTAACTCTACTTTATCTTCCGAATTTCCTATGATTGTTTATTCAGTCAGACTTCGGTTCGAAAGTCGTCTAAAAATTTTTGTGACATAGGAGTTATTTTAAAATCACTCCTGGGGTTAATGTTGTAGACAAAAGACCAGGGAACTTATGAGGACTGGTGTCCGTTTCAGAAAACTCGGTATATCCTGCCTTACCCCCTGATAAACATTACTATAACGTTGTTTTTATAAAAAACAACGATAACTAACTATTTTGCAGCAACAAAATAATTCAAAATGTTCTGCTTCTAATAAAGGCCACTTCTTGTCCAGGTTTCACAACGTTACACCAGTACGTCACATTTACATTTGTCTAATTGGTGCAAAATTTGAATTTTAAAATTCTCTATTATTGCGATTGCAGCAGCATTAGCTACTGAACTGTGTTCTCTATTCTCATTTAATTTTTTTCTAAATACTGCAGCGATTGCTTTCAATTTTTGCAATATAATATAGATTTTGTTCTTCAGTATTTCGTTTTTTTTTCATTTGATTAAATCATTGAATTGAGAATTCTTCACTTTGAAATTTTTATGGAAAGTTTTTTTTTTTTGTTATTTATTCCACAACTTGTCTGTGTGCGTTTATATTTTGCCTTCTTCTGGGGAGGTAGGTAGGTATTTCACTTTTTGCGTCGTTTGTTACTTTTGCTTGCTACCACTGGCACTTCATTTTGTTGCACTCCACCAACCAAATACAAAAATTGTTTGTATGCCCGTTGTTCATCAGTGTTTCCTTTGTTTTCCAAAATCATCAACAGAACGAATTGTTTTTGTGGAAGGGGGAGGCGGGCTGACTGACGATTGGTGGTGTTTCTTTTATTTTTTTTTTTGTCTACTCTTCTTGTTTTGTATACATGCCTTTCGTATTATTTCTCGGCCTAACAACTGACTTCCACGAAATTCAAAACACAACTGTCTGTTTTCATTTGTTGGCGAACGTCGAAAAAAGTAAACAAACGAAACTCTACCAAATGCTGGCAGAGCAGAAACAGCTGATATCGTCTATCGAATCAACAATGAGAGAGCGAGAGAGAGAATGGAAAAGAAATGTTTGTTTTGATTTGTTTCTCTCATAAAAAGTAAACGTTAGAGTTGCCATTGTCATTGGGAATTGTTAAAATTGTGATTATTTTGCTTTTGAATAAATTTAGGCATTTCCGAGGAAAAAAATGCTGATTGCAGTAAATGAATCAAATAATCTAGGGGCATTATTATTGTTAATTCCAAGTGATATTGGATTCTCAGAATCAACAAAAATTATCAACATATCAAAGAATTTCGATTTCAAACATATTTAATCAGATGCAATCTGTGAAGTTCCTAGACTACAAGGTATTAGCATATTCCAAATTAATGATTGTAAACACAGAGTCATAGATGGATATATTATTAACCTGAAATAATATCATCAACCATAAAAGAAAACGTAGAGAATATTTAACCGTATCGTGATGTTGTTTAGCTAAAAACCTCAGCAGACAATGAGAAATTATGTAAATTAATCTAATGCAAACATATGAAATAATAATTTTTTCTTCATCCTTAAAAACTAAAATTTCCTCCTTTGCAATTTTCCACCATTGGTCTGTTCCAGTGTCTGCTTAAACCTACCTACGCATTAAAAAATTTTACATTCTTGCAGTTCTGGAAAAGACCGCATATTGTTTATAACATTGACCGGTCTACCTAGTATCTGAAGTACGCCTTCGACTATTTTGGCCACAAACATTAAAAACATGTATTAAAAAATTATAAAAATAATAAAAAAACAAGCAGTAAGTAAGCAGTAGTTTTGACTTCCTCCAACATTTGGAAAGATTCCGAAATTTTTCAAAAAAAAAAGTCATAAAAATATGGAATATAGGGAGTTATGTGAGAGTATATAAAACTCTTTTTTGACTGGCTAAAGTCGTCGGCTGGCTATAACCTTGAGCCCCCTACCTAATATCTGAAGTACGCCTACGATGCTTTTGGCCACAAGCATTGAATACATGTATTAAAAAAGTTATAAAAATAATAAAAAACAAGCAGTAAGTAAGTAAGCAGTAGTTTTAATATCCCCATCATTTCGAAGGAATTTAAAAAAAACCGTCGAAAAATACCAGGTCATAAAAATATGGAAAATAGGAAGTTAATGTGAGAATATGTGCCTTCTTCGGGAAAGAACAAAGGAGCGTATGACCAAAATCGAACTAAGTTAACCTAATACTTCTTTTGATCCTATAGTTAAGCCAGTCAAAAAGGCGTCCTGCTTAGACAATGTTCGGTCACAGATGGTATCACTCATTAGGAAATTCAAATACGAACTTTGAAACAAGCCGGGTGAATAAAGTCGCTAAAATCATTAAAACACAGAATAAAGGGAAATGCCGTTATATGGGGGCTACAGACGTGGACCCGTGGTAAAAAATACAGGTAAATGCTTCAAAAAATTTAAAATGTTTTTTTTTTTAATTTAAATAGATTTTCATATGTTTTGTTATACGACGTCATTCGTAGGTCATTATAATACGCGTTTTCAACTATTTTTACAAGTATAAATCATTTTTCATTCAACATTTTCAATTCTAAAATTGGTTTGACAGTTCATTTTCCCAGCGGATGTGTCGATGCGTCTACCTATATTATTCTATCATACGTGGAATTTTATGTGCAATTTTCTGTTACAGGATGTAGTACATTTTAGGAACTTGAAGTTGCAAACTTAAGACATTTCTGGTGAAAAGTGTGACATAATCCATATACTTATTTAGAGGTACAGTCATTTGGGGCTATATCAAACCAATTTACGGCTAATTTGGGTTAAAATTGTGACTAAAGCAGCTGACAAACATAGGATCTGTCAGTACAGTTATAGGGGGGTCAAAACTGGACCTATATAGCCCATTATCAATGCCAAATGTCCGGCAGAACAAACACACACTGCTGAGTAAAATTTTATCAACCTACTTCATTTCGTCCGATTGCTAGAGTGATTTCCACACACGGACTGATGGACGGACATGGCTAAATCGACGTAGAATTTTTTGCTGATCAAGAATATATATACTTTGTGGAGTCTAAAATTTAATATTTTGAGGTTTATGTCCAGTGGAAAATCATACGCACGACGGAAGCCCTACAAAAGCTCAGTAAGCCAAAAAATAATAATTGTTCATAAAGAAGAAGAAAGCTGAGCTTTCAATAGCCTCCACCAATAGAAAAAAAACATTTTTGAATAAAAGTATGTAATATGATCGCCATTTCGACAGATAGACAGGCGGACATCGTTAAACCCACATAGAATTTTATGCTGATTATAAATAGTAGATCTAGATCCACTTACCCGATATAGACAATAGCACAAATTGTAGCATTTTAGAAGGGTAAGAGTGTCAGGTATAATTTGGCATCAATTTTGTCGACGACCTTTTTTTTTTGGGTGTTTTATAAAAACTAATTTGACTATAACTTCCGAACCATCCTGTGAGCACTTGTTTGTTTTGGATACCTATACACTTTCAAACGATGCCAATATTGTCTACATCGGATAAGTGGGCAGGGCCTCAATTCTGGTTCTATGAAAATGTGAAATGAAAACTTTTATAAAGGAAAGAAATGTGAAATGAAAAATTTTATAAAAAAAATTTTCTTATATTTTCATAGAACAAGAATCCAGCCCAGTGTCAAAAATGTGGGTTCCCGAGTCCATCTCCCAAAAAAACTAGTACTACAAATCAGGATAAAAATACCGACCTTTTAAAAAAATCGAAAAAATCTAAGAGTTTTTACTAAACTAGAGTTGTTCCCTCCATTTTTCTAACAACAACTTTTGATTCTAATTTGATTTCAACATCATAATGTAAACATTTTACACTTTCATATTTTTATCACATCACAAAAAATAAATATCATTTCTAATTTAACATTTCGTTATATTTCGCGTTGTATAGGCATTCCCGTCTTTTGAAATACCTGCCCAAATAGTTATCATAAAATGACACTTGGCAACCCTATTTTGTGTCATTTATTGATTAACTCCTCTCTCAAACATTCCCAATTTTTCGTAAACAACGTCAAACGTCTATTGGAGACAGAACACAAACAAGGGAACAGAAGAGAATGGGAAAACACAAGAAAAAGTGTTGCCACTTTTTGTATTCAAATGAATGAATACAATTTCAATGGGAAAATAACAAAAGAAAATATTTTCAATTTGCACAATAGAAATAAATAAAAACTGATATGAAGCATCGAGATTTTAATGAATAAAATGTAGGTTACCTTATTTTCTTATTTTACTCCAAAATTGCTTTTGCCATTCATTCACTTTTGTCCACGACGATGTTGTTGTTTTCACAGAACGAATATCTAGACAATTTAGTCTTGATCACAATTTTTCTTTTCATTTATTATTTTTTGACACAGAAATAACTTCTTTTAACACATTATTTTATCCACTTGTACCGTTTTTATTAATTTTCACTGTAAGAACGCTATAAACTAATTTTCAATTCATTTTTCCAACAAATTAATTTCTAAGAACTTTATTCCGTCGTTTGTTTTTTGTTTTGTCTCATCTCATCTAGGGATACATAGATCGACTTTGGCCTAATCGATAAATTGTCTAAAATTGTTTTAAAAAAATCGAATCGAGTGCCTATCGATTTTAGATGTAATGGGAAAGTATTCCTATAAATTATAAATAAGTTCGTTACTTTTCTAGGAGAAATTATTCAGTAATGGATTAAAGCAACAATAAAATGCCGCAAAACCACATTTTCATGCCAGCACATACCAATTCGTTATATTCTTTAATTTCTTATTCAACATTTTTTTATTATTAACTTTTTTGTTATTTTCTTTACACATTTTATCCGTTTCACAAAAACACAACCGTTCGAGTATAAGCGCGCCGAAACACATGAAGATGTTGTTCTAGGAGTAATGCCAATTTAGCGATTTTTAGCAATAGTATATTTGAAAAACAAAAATAAAACGGCCGGGCCGAACCCTCCATGTCCTGATATAACGGCTACATTAGGTATTTTTAAGATGTTAACAGTTGGAGGGCATTCAAAGTTCGGCCCGGCCGTTTTATTTTTGTTTTTCAAATATATTGTTGCTAAAAATACATAAGCAAGTTTCGTCACAAGACATTACAATATTAAAATGCGAAGCTTTAAAAACAAATCGGTGAATCAAGTAGCAAAAATCATGAAAATACCGAATATAGGAAGGTACCATTATATGGGGGCTATACCAAAACGTGAATAAGGTCTCTAAATTCATCAAAATACCGAATATCGGGAGGTACCGTTATATGGGGGCTATACGAAGACGTGGAACTGCACAGACATTTCTCTGTCATAGGCTGCAATATCCATTACGAACTTCAAATACCAAATTTTAAACAATTCCGGTGAATAATGCCGCTAAAATCATCAAAAGACCGAATATCCGGAGGTACCGCTATATGAGGGCTATACGAAGACGTGGACCTGCACAGACAATTTTCTGACATATGCTGAAACAATTCCGGTGAAAAAAGCCGCTAAAAATCATCAAAAGACCGAATATCCGAGGTACCGTTATATGGGGGCTATACGAAGACGTGGACAGACAATTTTCCGTCATAGACTGTAGTATCCCTTACGAACTTCAAATACCAAATTTCAAACAATTCCATTGAATAATGCCCCTAAAAATCATCAAAAAACCGAATATCCGGAGGTATCTTTATATGAGGGCTATACGAAGACGTGGACCTGCATAGACAATTTTCTGTCGTAGGCTGTAGTATCTATTACGAACTTCAAATACCAAATTTAAAACAATCCCTGTAAAAAATGTCGCTAAAATCATGAAAATATCGAATATTGGGAGGTACCGTTATATGTGGGCTATACGAAGACGGGGACCTGCACAGACAATTTTCTGTCGTAGGCTGTAGTATCTATTACGAACTTCAAATACCAAATTTGAAACAATTCTGGTGAATAATGACTAAAATCATCAAAATACCAAATATCGAGAAGGTGGAGGTACTGTTACATGGGGGCTATACGAATACGTGGACCTACATGGCCCATTTTCAAGACTAAAAGTCCTGCAGATATAATATACATTTGAGTAAAATTTTATCAACCTACCGCATTTCGTTCGGAAGCTATAGTGATTTCCACAGACGAATAGACGGACGGACATCGCTTAGAATTTTATGCTGATCCAAAATATATATACTTTGTGGGTCTAAAATGTATACTTCGAGGTGTTACAAACGGAATGACAAACTTAATATACCCTCCATAATATGATATAGGGTATACAAATCACCCTATACATGGATAGAACATGCATAAATTGACTCAGAATGCATTTCTATGCAGACCACATGTAATTTTATTTAATTTTCATTATTTAATAATAATTTATTTAATTTTAACCATTCGAACCCACTTTCATTCATCAAATATTTTTATAATCAAAAATCGCTAAATTGACATCACTCCCAGAACAACATCCTTTTAAACATCTTCGTGTTCTTGTTTCCCATTTCCCTATCGAAGTGAATAACAACATTAATATATCTATCTCACTTACACCTTCTTATCGATCTACTCAAAAACATCGACACGATACCGACATTCAGTCATTCGGTGAGCTTTAAAATGGACGGATGTGTTTTCTCGCGGAAGCGTAAATTCTAATTGGAAGAGTGTTCATAAAACTTGATCTTTAACATAACGGGCGCATGAGTAACGTAAACGTGCAAAAAAACAATAGCAAAACGTAAAAAAAAGAACAAGTGTTTAAAAAACTCTTAAATTTTATATTTCACAAAATATGTATTTGTTTGTGCATGGCGTTGTTGCAAAAAGAAAAATCATCGTTTTTGTTAGCTACCAATATTCTCTCATGAGAAGATCTTTCTACAATTGTCTCCCTTCCACTCATCTTAAAGAACTTCAAAGAGCAAAACAGAAATAAAGGACGCTGCAACAATTCAGTTTTTCGGCGCGCTTTGCTTTGAACGGTTGTGTTTTCGGGAAACGGATGAAACGTGCCGAGGAAATAACAAAAAAGTTAACAATAAAAAGTATGTGGAATAAGAAAATTAAAGAATATAGCGAATTCGTGTGTGTTGTGAATGTGTGGTATTCAAATTAAATTAATAAGTTTCCAACAAAAGTGTTTTCAAAGAATTTGTGATTTGCCTCATTGGCCGTACAAGTAAGTCGGCGAAACGCGTTGGTGGCTTAAAAAAAATCTGGAGCTTTTGCTAAAGTATTTTGCTAAATAGATGAGTTGCATTGTGTTTTTTTTGGTGATGCCATTGGTTTTTGTCTGTAATAATGCGTACCATTTCATTAAGCTAATTACAAAACCCACCATATAATGAAAATTTTATGAAATACAGCTCTGGCATTTTCGGAAATAATTTCCTTCGTTCAATAATAACTGTTATTACTGAGGTATAGAACTTGGATAACAATGACCCCCTTAAATGTCCCATCGAAACCATTTCTTATTTACAACACCACAATTTCGTTCGTCAAAATGAAAGCACATCTTAAATTGATTGTGGTGAAGGAATACAAAGAAAATATGTGATATAACAACAATACCATATGATAGGTAAGTAACAGCAACAACACTAAAATGAGATTATAAATAAAAGAGGTGAAGAGGAAAGTATAACACTTGTGTTTAACCGTTATATTCATGTCAGTCCCATCAAAAGTTGATTAGTAGCTTTTAGTGCATACTTTTAGGCAAGGGGATAAAGTGTACCAATAATCCTTCTATTGGTGAATATTGAATGCTGATATTTATATAATTCAAAACAATTAAAGGCTACATCTGCTTTGAATTTATTATTTTGGTTTAAGGTTATCTGGTAAATGTTACTAAAAAAAGTTCCTTCTACAAATAACTTTTATAATTAGTCTGCAGCGTAACGTAGATAAATTTTTCTGTATTCTTTACGTTTTACAAACTCAGGGTGTGACAAAAAATTTACGAAGAATTGCACCAAAGTAGTCCTTATATTAGTAACCGTTTTTATACCCTCCACCATAGTATGGAGGTTATATTAAGTTTGTCATTCCGTTTGTAACACCTCGAAATATACATTTTAGACCCCACAAAGTATATATATTCTTGATCAGCATAAAATTCTATGTCGATTTATCAATGTCCGTCCGTCTGTGGAAATCACTCTAGCTTCCGAACGAAATGAAGTAAATTGATAAAAAATTACTCAAACGTGTATTATGTCTGCAGGACTTTTGGTATTAAAAATGGGCTATATAGGTCCACGTCTTCGTATAGCCCCCATATAACTGTACCTCTCGATATTCGGTATTTTGATGATTTTAGCGACATTATTTACCGGAATTGTTTCAAATTTGGTATTTGAAGTTTGTAATGAATACTACAGCCTAAGACAGAAAATGAGCCATGTGGGTCCACGTCTTCGTGTAGCCCCCATATAACGGTACCCTCCGATATTCGGTATTTGGATGATTTTAGCGACATTATTTTCCGGAATTGTTTCAAATTTGGTATTTGAAGTTCGTAATGAATACTACAGCCTCAGACAGGAAACTTTCCATGCAGATCCGCATCTTCGTATAGCCCCCATATGTGAATTATTTCAAAATTTTGTATTTGAAGTTTGTAATGGATGCTACAGCCTATGCCAGAAAATTGTCTGTGCAGGTCCACGTAATGTACCTCTCTATGTTCGGTATTTTGTTTATTTTCGCTACATTATAAATAGATTTTTTTTCAAGTTAAGCATTTGAATATTATAATAGCTTATGAAAAAAGTTGCCTATGCATGTCCACGTCGTCGTATAGACCCTAATATACGGCTACATTCGGTATTTTTAAGATTTTAACAGAATTTTTAATGTTTTTTTTAAATTCCCAAATTTGTACCAAATGGTGGAGGGTATTCAAAGTTCGGCCGAACTTACAACTTTTTCACTTGTTGTTCTTTTTCTTGTGTTTTTCGATTTAATATCGTACCCATGGTAATATAAGGAAGGTAAAGTCATTTCAAATAAGCATTCCAATCTTTGCATTTTCTGTAATTTACCTTGTTAAATTTCACTACATAGATTTGTGTATGTACAATGGATTTATAAACATTTTGACAATGAATTATTTTGAAAAAATTGTAAACATATGATTGCATGACTTTACCTTTTTAATTCTACAATGGTCGCATCGAACCATGCCATTTTTTAAATTCTATATATTTCCAGACTCCTATACACAATAAAAAAAATTGTAATTTCTCCTTTATAAAAAGCTCGCCGATGACTTAGAAGGAAATTTGACGTTCCGTTTGTAAAACCGCTAAATGTTCGTCATAGCTTGAGATGAATATGGAATTTATGATTTCGCATAAAATTGGATATAAATGTTCGATTTTCTTGTAATTTTGCCCATACCAATATTTTTATCTGTATTAGATGAAGTATGAAAATGGAATACCTCGGTCGACTATATCTGGTGCCAAAACTTATCACATATATCAAATAATTTATATACTTTTTATTTAGGTCTGATACGAAATGTACAATATTGGTCCATTCCTTCGGAATCTACTCCATAGAGGGTCAACAATTTGATTAATCATAACAGAAGTTAAAATATATTTAAATAATCGAACATGGAACAGGTTATAAATATGTCGGCAAACCCCCCCACTTCACATTTTCTTAAAATACTTTTCTATTGCGATGAATTAAAATTTTGTTAAAATGACAAAATCTTTTTTTATTTATTGCAATTTGAAATATACATGCTTATATTTATAAATCAAATAATTATCAAAAACATTTTTAAACAAAGTTTTTCTTTTTTGTAAAATTTACCGCATTGCCATTGATTAGTTTAGTTTGTAAATTATGCTACTGAGCCACATCTATCAATCTCTCCCGAAATTCGTGTTTTGTGCCAATTTATTGTTTATCTGAATTTTATTTAATCAAAACAACAATTAAAATTGATTTTCTTATTAAAACTCGTTCTATGTAAACGCAATCATTGTTACGTCAGAAAACAGTCCAACGCCATCTACATCACAGTTTTGACATGCAATTTGCCACACGTTGCAATTAACGACTCACCTTGGATATTAACTACCTTTTACCTTACTTTACAAAGCATCAGTTATGTTCCACAAAGAAGTGTGTGCGCAATAGAAATGGGAAAAACATTTTCATCAAATTCTAACTTGCATTGCAAATGGAAGTGATAAGAATGAAAGAATATGAAGAATTTCCGCGAATGAGAGAGAATGGCAGAATCTGAATGACTATGAATGAGCGAGAATGAAAGAAAACAATGCTCCCCCGGCGGCGTTGCCAACTTTGGCATTTATAACATTGGTTGGTGAATGCCAGTCAGTCGTGGAAAAAATTTCGTGAATGTCAGAACAACGGAACGGATGCGCATTTAAACGTTGTCGCCGTCGTCGTTTCATGTCCAGGATTCATGAGGAATAAAGTCAAAAAAGAAATATCCTCCATGCACATCATCAAAATGAATTTCGGATAAAGAAAATAATTTACGAAAAAAACGTCGTAGTGTTGTTCTCGCTCGCCTAGCCAATTTCGATTGTGCGTGCGTGTTTGTGTGTGTGAAAGAAATATAACTAAAGTGAAAATAGTTAAGAAAACAAAACGAGAAAAGAAATAAATTTTCTTGGCCAAAAAAGCAAAACAAATACCTGTCGGTGTGAGTGTCTGGCCGACCAAGCGCCCGCCCTCCCATTTGTAGCTGGCAAAAAGGAGGAAATTTTGCAACAGAAAAGAAAAGGTGATTACTAATGTGAAATTCGGGAAGTTGGTAAAAATATTCCGAGTTGAATCTTGTAAGAAAACGTCTTCCACCACCTCCTTGTAGAACAGGAAGAAGAAGAGCAGGCAAAGTAGCAAAAGAATTTTTGTGTGACAAAATCCCAATAAGAAAAATACAAAAAAAAGAATGAAGTAGAATTCAAATGATATCCAAGCGGGTGTGCGTGTGTGTTTTGTGTGCACAAGTGTTTGGGAATATTTGGAGAAACGTAGAAGATAACAAAGTGGAGTTTGATTTTCTTATTTGCAAAAAAAGTAATAGAATAGAATTTTGTTAACAAAAAGTGATTACAAAATGTGGTGTAAATGTTGAAGGAAATTGTGGCCCCAACAAGGAATCAAGTGCAAAGTCTGTGTGTGTGTGTGTTAAGAGTGAATGTGGCAAAACGTGTGGAACACAAGAGAATACAGAGAAGTAAAGGCAAAGAATTGCAAAAAAAGGAAACAAAATTATCAAAAAATAAATGTTGGCTTAAAGGAATCAAAGAGAAGCAGAAAAATGGAATTGAATATTTTTGCCAAAAAAAGCACCAGATAAGATAAAATTTGTTATGGTTTCCATTTACCAACTGTATGTTTGTGTGTCTGTGCCTTGTTTATTATGTGGAGTTAGGGGAGTGAATGTTGTGTTATCTTTGCTGCCCTAGGACCAAAAACCCTGCCTGCTGTTTTTGTCATTCATCTCCTCCCTTTTGAAATTGTATCATTTTTTTGTAAAAAAAAATAGTGGTTGTTGTTATTATTGTTATGTGTTGTAACTCATTTTTGAGGCCCGTGTAACGTGTTTTTTTTGCTGTAGTTGCCATTCATTGATTTTTCCACAAGAAAAAAGGTTGTTCTTTTCTCGACCTTTGGCCATAAATCACTCAAATTTTATGAAGAAAATCTCAAAATAAACTACTGGATAATTAACATGCCAAATTCGAAACTCTGGGCTGCGTTTTGCCCCATCGAAGCCATGAATGAATCTCTCGAACAATTCAGGCAAATACATTTACCTATACCGGTTTTTAATGAGACTCGCTTTGAATGTGAGGTTATGGCCTTTTTTGCTCACAACAACTGAAGCATAACAGCCAAAGTATTTTGACAACTCTCAGCAGCAAAAAAAAAAAAAAAACAAACTGTAGTGCAATTAAATAAAAACTCCCAAAAATTTATGAAAATAAAAAATTCTCCCTTTCATTTACATTTTTATCCTCAATTTCTTCTTCGCCATGATTTCCTTTGGTTTTGTGTTGTTCTCCACTTGTCATGAGCAATTTTCATTTTATTGGATTATTCTCCAAATCGACAAAAAAAACAAAAAACCTGCAGCCGCAACAATACAACAGCAACACCAACAACAATAATAATGGTAGTAATAACAACAACATTACACCTTCATGACGTTCTTTTTCATTTGGTTTGTTGTGGGTCTCTCTTTTCCCCTCCCCACAACCACACTGCATTGTTGCTGTATTATTGAGTGTATACTTTACTCTCCCAAAAGAGAGTGTTACACCATCTCATCAATCTTTGAGATTGTTTTATTCTGTTTTTTTGTTTTTGCTTCGTTCACAAAAATATATTCTCGTGTTTACTCCCTTTTCTCGTTGTGACAACACACAAACCAAAAACAACAATAGTAGTAAATTATTTATAGTTGAGTGTGCAGGTGTGTGTGCGTGTGTGAGTGTAACTGCGTGAGAGGTGCTTATTTATTTCTCCGGTTGTTTTTTCGTGGATAGGAGAAAAAAAGGTGCCAGATTTGTGAGTTTTTTTTACTGGTGATTGGGTGCTGGAGTTACACGTGTTGTGGGCAAAAATGAGGTGATTTTTGATCTGGAAAAAATCTTGGACTTTTGAAAAAAGGATTGACCTGTGATTGATTCCAGAACTTGTAAGGACTTTTCGAGATTGTTTTAGAGAATTTTCGGGAGAATTTTATTAAAGGCATGTGGAAAAAGGCGTTAAATTTCGACCGTTCATATTTTATATTATTTTCCAGTTTTAGGTGTAAAGACAATCTTTAAATGGCAATAAAATCTGATAGAAACCGTTGTAGGTTCAACACTACCCTCTCGGGAGTAAAGCGAAATACTTTATTTGTATTTTGAAAATTTTAATTGTAATTGACAATGTCAAAATGTCAAGAAAAGGAGAGAAAACTATTTATTATGGATTAACTCATTTCCTTTTCAGTTGTAATTCGAATAATTGTTGATATAATTCGTAACATATTATTTGTAATTTGAGAATTCCCTTTGTAGTTCGAATTATTTGAGTTGTAATTCGATTATTTCAATTTTTATTCGAATTTTTCCATTTGTAATTCAAATTATTTTGATTGTAATTCGAATGATTCCAAATGTAATTCGAACTATTCCATTTAAAATTGCAAATTGAATCATTACTATTAGAAAAATTCGAACTGCTCGAATTCGAAATTCAATTCGAATTTTTGAATAACATTTGTAAATAATTCGAAATACAATTCGAATGATTCCATTTGTAATTTGAACTATTCCATTTAAAATTGCAAATTGAATCATTATTCGAATATAATGATTCAATTTGCAATTTTAAATGGAATTATTCGAAATTCAATTCGAATTTTCGAATAACATTTGAAAATAATTCGAATTACAGTTCGAATTTTCGAATAACATTTGAAAAATGTATTGTATAGTAAAATCTTTAGGATTTTGATACTCTCCACCATACTATGGAGAATATATTAGCTTTTCATTCCGTTTGTAACTACCTTGAAATACTCATGATGCTCATTCTAAGTCGAGTTAGCGATGTCCCTATGTCTGCCTGTTGTAATCACGGTATCTTTAGAAATTCTGCAGCAATGTGTATTTTGCCTGTAGGAAGGATAAGTTCGCCGGTCCAACCACGTTGGTCCACGTTCTCGTATATCTCCCATATAACGGTTCCTCCCAATATTCGGTATTTTAATGATTCTAGAAAGATTATAGGTCGGAATTGTTTCCAATTTCGTAATTGTAGTTGCCAATAGCTACAGCCTGTGGCGAAAATTTCGTATTCAGGTCCAAGTTTTCGAATAGCCCTAAATAACGATACCTCCCGATATTCGGTATTTTGATGATTTTAGAGTAATTATTTAAAAGATTTCGTTTTTGAAGTTCGAAATCGGTACTGCAGCCTACGACAAAAAATTACTTATGCAGGACCACGTCTTCGTATAGCCCACATATAACGATACCTCCTGATATTCGGTATTTTCATGATTATAGGGACAATATTCACCGGAATTGTTTTAAATATCGTATTTAAAGCTCGCAATACGTACTATAACCTATGATGGAAAATTTCCCATGTAGGTACACATCTTCGTATAGGCCTCATATAACCGTACTTTTCTTTGTTCGGTATTTTGATATTAGCGACATTATCAACGGAATTTTTCAAAATTTAAAAAAATAATATATTCGTAGTCTAATTTTTTTAAAGTTTAAAGCAGTATGTTCGGCCGGGTCCAACTTTGAATACCCTCCACCATTTGGAACGAATTTGGAAATTTTCAAAAATAAAATTCTTAAAAAATTCTGTTAAAATTTTAAAAATACCAAATATAGCCGTTATATTGAGGTCTATACGACGTTGGGCATTGTTTGTCATAAGCCATTACCATATTCAAATTTGAAACTTGATATAAACAGTGAATAATGTAGCTAAAATCATCAAAATATTGTATATAGGGAGGTACGGTTATATCGGAGCTGTGCGAAGACCTGCACCTGCATAGACAATTTTCTGTCACAGGCTGTAGCATCCATTACGAGCTTCAAATACCACATCTCAAACAATTTCGATCGGTATTGTACCTAAAATCGTCAAAATACCGAACATAGGGAGGTACTGATATATGGGGCCTATACGAAGACCTGGACCTGCATAGACAATTTTCTGTCTTAGGCTGTAGTATCCATTTCGAACTCCAAATACCAAATTTGAAACAATTCCGGTGAATAATGTCGCTAAAATCATCAAAATACCGAATATTCGTAGGTACCCTTACATGGGGGCTATAATAAGACGTGGACCTGCACAGACAATTTTCTGTCGTAGGGTGTAGTATCCATTTCGAACTTCAAATACCAAATTTAAAACAATTCCGGTGAATAGTGTCGCTAAAATCATAAAAATGCCGAATATCGGGAGGTACCGTTATATGGGGGCTATACGAAGACGTGGACTTGCACAGACAATTTTCTGTCTTAGGGTGTAGTATCCATTTCGAACTTCAAATACCAAATTTTAAATAATTCCGGTGAATAATGTCGCTAAAATCATCCAAATACCGAATATTGGTAGGTACCCTTATATAGGGGCTATACGAAGGCGTGGACTTGCACAGACAATTTTCTGTCTTAGGGTGTAGTATCCATTTCGAACTTCAAATACCAAATTTGAAACAATTCCGGTGAATAATGTCGCTACAATCATCAAAATACCGAATATCGAGAGGCACCGTTATATGGGGGCTATATGAAAACGTGGACCATTTACGAACTTAACCTGCCTACTGGAAAAATAAAGATGTGTGCAAAATTTTAGCCATCTATTTCAATTCATTCGAAAGATAGCGTGATTACAACAGATAGACGGACAGACAGACAGATCGACGGACATGGCTAAATCGTCTTAGAATTTTTCGCTGATAAAGAATATATATACTTTGTTGGGTCTGACATGAGTATTTCGAGGAGTTACAAACGGAATGACAAAGTTAATATACCCTCCATAATATGGCGGAGGGTATAAAAATATTTATTTTAAACAAATATTGTACTTATGTTGCCATATATCCGATATATCCGATATATTGCCCCCTAGGCTTGCCCTTGCCCTAAACTCTAGCCCTATGCTAAATTCCCAGCTGTAGAGCAGCTGCAAAATCAGGAAATTTCTCTGTTTTTGGTCCATTTCAACCCCTAACTATTTTCC